ACCTCTCGCACCATACGCTCAGCTTGGAATCCAAGTTAGGTGCACAGCCCTGTCATACAGACCACTGTAGATGGTTCCGACTCGTAGGTGACCCGCGATTATTTGCACAGCCTTCACGTGATCGTAGCACTAGAGCGTTCATATGTATTACACCCAGGCCTGTCGTACAGACCACTATAGGTGGTTCCGACTCGTGGGCAGGTTTAGTGATTGAGTTTGAGATTTGAGCTCTAGATTCAGCCGTACAGGTCACTTAGGGGACTCCGGCTGCCAGATTATTATGCTATTGATGTGATTTATACCTGAGCACTTGCATCTTATTATGAGGCTTTGAGCATGACGGCATACCTTTGAGCATGTTGGCATACCCTTGAGCATACTTGGCATATTTATACCTACGTATATATGTTTATTTTTCTGGGAAGTATACAGGTTTTACGGCGAGGGGTTAGAATGTATTTTATGAAATGGCTTTCAAAGAATTTGTTTTTGCCCACTCACGCTTTTGTTTTGCGCCCCTCCAGGTTCTAGTAGCTTAGCGGGTTCGGTGGTTTTCCCAGAGGACGTCCCGGCATTTCTGACAGACACTCACCTATGTAGGGTCACCTTCGGGTGCACTATTGTTGTATCGTTTCTTTTGGACTGTTGTAGGCTTTAAGCTCTGAATTCAGCGTCTCACTTACGCTAGCACTCGTATTGTCACATATTTGTATGCTAGTTTTAAATTATTCGTACTTTTATATTACTGTTTTTAGCTTCCGCACTGTGCACATGGCTACGTCATTTCCACGTGACGACCAGCATGCCCTGATCTCGGTTGGGGTGTGTCATCAATAATATGAAAAAAATAGTATACAATTAATATGGGAGTTTACCCTTAATATTACTGAAATCTTTTGTGACAAAATCCAAAATCTAATGATAAGTGATTAAGTTGAGATAATATCGTTAATATCGTTAATATTGGTGACGGCACCGTGCTTTGCCTATAAGTTTCACACGTTGGTCTAGGTCTAAACAAGTCTACCATGAAGATTTATATTTATTACACAATGAACCAAGTCTACCATCTTTTGGAGATAAGTCGTTCTGGTTTCATCTTAATTCATTACACGAATGTTATTAAGTATATATGATGAAGAAGATGGTGGCAATTTTTTTTTTTTTTGATAAAGAAAATCCATGGTAATCAGGGTCAACGATAGTAGGATAATAGTTGTGTTTCTCCGATAGGAAACTTACTTGTCCACACTTATAGTTGACGAACTATTACCATCCGAATATCATAATCAGAACGTTAATTCTCTTTATCATCATCTAAGGATCATATTATTCAATATGTAAATCTTTTAGTCATCAATATGTGTTAAACTAATAGACGGTTCATCACAAGGATGCTACTTTTTACCAAAAGTGTTGATTGGTTTAATACATATAGATGATTAAACAATCATCAGATTGAATTATTTTTTCGCTTATATGATATTTAGATGATGATAGAGAGAACGAATGGTTCTGATTATAATTTTTGAATAGTAAAAACTTTGATAATTGCAAGTAAAATGACAAATATTTCAAAGTAATGGGCTAATAAAAACAAAAAAGAATCATTATTAAACTGCAAAATAGTTTTAATATTTTTGGTTTAGATTGATTTCTTTGTGTGAGGGCTTGTTTGACTTGGCTGTTGGCTACCCACTGAATTAACCTTTTTGTTTGGATTATGTGCTTTTAGTCGACTTCTCGTACATAATAATAATACACGTTAGACTATAAATCCACTGCAAAACAACAAAAGAATGAAACCCCATCTTATTTTTAATACACCTTTATTATCTATTGATATTCTTTAATTTATCAATTTGATGATTGAAAATTTAAAAAAAGTGTATGAGAAATGAAAAAAATAGATGTGTAGATAGCATTACTCGTATTTTATTTTCTTTTAGTTACAATTAATGTAATAATAATCGTATTTCTTAACATCATATGCTGCAACCGCATAAGTATTTTAGTACGGCCGACGTCCAAGTCCTCGTGCAGTCTACACGTTATTGGGCCTGCTGTGGTAGTCTCACGTGGTAGTCTCCCTTCTCGGAAGCCCACTTACTCAAACTCCCTCCCTTGCTCATTTATTATCTAAATTACTTTTTAATAGAATTCTGATTGTCAATCAAATTTCCACAAAACTACTATTTTAACTCTCTCATCAAAGTTAAACAAAAGTAAAAAATATAGACAATTTAGTAGTTACATAAACATAAATTTGTTTTTAACAGCAACCTCACAACCAAGTAGTATATAATTCCCTATTTTTAAATTTAAAAAAAAAACAACGGCTCATCATTGTCCTAATTTTCATAACTGATTTTTTTTTTTTAGAATTTTAAAAACTAATCGCACTTCTTAATAAAAAAAATAAAATAAAATGAAATTTGTTCATACCACGTGTGTGGGCATCTGCTAACGTGACTTAACACAATTCTATGTAGGGATGGAATTTTTTCCTTAGAATCCCGAACCGTCCCGAAATTTGATTGAAAAATACCCGAATCGAATTTCCCAAAAAATTCGGTACTCGAAACCAAACTGATCTTGCAAATTTCGGTTTGGAATTTGACCACATCTTTGAGAGTGTTCGGTAATCCTGAACCGAACCGAATATTATATATATATTTATTTATTTTTAATTTATAATTTGAAATTACATGGACCGTTGGATTGGTTAAGATCTAATCCAACCGTCCATGTGAGTTGGGTCTTTTGTATTCCTCCCTTCCTCATACTCTTTCTCATACTCTCAGTCGCTCTGTCTCACTCTCCTGCACCCATCCCGTTGGTGCCGCCATCGTCTGCTCCAATTCCCCTCCGCCAAGGTCACTCCCACTCCCCCGCATTCTCAATCAACTTTCTTTGTTGGTCCTTGTTCCGGTACACCTCAGTGGGCTTTCTCAATGAAGAGTTAACCATAATTCCCCAATTCCAATGGCGGATGACGAGCTCAGCGACACATCGGAAGATGAAGGCACCGAGGATTACAAGAAGGGAGGCTACCACACCATCTCTATTGGGGACTCCTTCAAGAATGGATGCTATGTGGTGCAGAGCAAGCTTGGGTGGGGCCACTTCTCCACCGTTTGCCTTGCATAGGACACAAAGAGCTCGGTATCTATCTGTCTGATTGTGAAAAATGCTGCTTGTTTGGTTACTGAGAAACTGAGGGAAAATGTGAAGAGTAGAGGAAATGAAATGTTGTGTTCTGTATGATTATTTGGGAAATGAAATGTTGTGTTCTGTAGATTGCGAACCAAACAGTTTCGGGCATCCCGAATTTCGGAAATTGCATTTTTTCGGCTCGCTTTTGGAATTTTAAATTCCATCCCAATATATTTTGGTTTGAAATTTGGGATGGAAGCTTCGGTTCGAGATCCCGACCCGATTTAGCCCTAATTCTATGTTCCTCAAATTCAAAGTGGAATCTCTCTTTCTTTTCAAAGTGGAACCCTTGATGTGTCTCAAAATATAAAATATCTACCATCCTAATCATTCAATTTTGGGTCGGCCCATATTCCTTTCTGTATGCACATTCGGCCCCACGCATCATTCACAAGCGTGTTAACCAATAGTCGGGTTGAGTTTAGAACCGAAACTAACTCGTGAAGATACTTTCCATCGTGCAGTTGTCTTTGTGTGTGTTTGGGAAAACGACATGCATTTGATCAAGTGAGAGTGGGGTCTTGGAGGGAGGAGCACTATTGACTATTGTTGTCGTTTTTATTGCATTTCCACTCTTGCTCTACCACCGCAACGTTTGAAGTGACATTATATTCCTCACTTGTCAAAAATATTCGAGGCAGAGTGACGACATGTGGGTGGAACCTAAAACGGTACACAAAAGGAAAACTGAGCAACTTTTTGTAGGTTTTTTTTCTTTTCTTCTACGCATTGCTTTATGCCAAAAGGGATCTTTAAGGGTTAGTTTGGTGTTGTTTATTTTTCATTAAAATTATTTTTATTGTGTTGTGAGAATAAACAACTCTGAAAAAAAAAACCATAACGGTTTGGTAAATTATAATGCTTAAAGTGTTTTTACCAAAAAAATAAAAATAAAAATAGGGGTATATTTGTCTATATGAAAGTTTTATTAATTGATACTATTTACTTGCTCTGAATGAACAAATTTTTTTTATATTTTTTATGAGTAGTATGTGAAGAGCTAATTTTGCTCCCTACCGTTTTGCACCCATAATTTGAAGAAAAAAACACACATTTTTTCATCTACCAAACCTACTTAACGCTCCAACATTTTTAAATATTTTTTATGGCTAATGATAAATTTTTATGTTCTAGTGATGTTCTTTTTTTTCAACTTAATTCATCATCTTTTGCAACTTTTCCCAGTTTCCATCTTGTGAACAACTCTTAACTTTCTTGATATGTGATTAATCTGCTTTTGTATTGAAATTTGCTAACTCACTGAGTCAAATGATATATCCCATCATTTGTTGATGAACCGTCATTTTCCATTATACCCACCAATGGCGCATAATGATGGTGCCCATCTTCAATTATCTTGGATTCTCTTTTCCTTTTTCTTTTTCTTTTTCTAGAAGTTAAAATACATAATTTAATTCAAAAAATGAATAAATGTTGAATCATGAAAATTTAAAAGGTAAAGAGCCAACAAGGTTTGATTAAGTTGGTAATGATCGTTCTCTTTGCTAAACCAAGACCTGGATTCGAGTTTCACTGTCAACAATTAACTTTTGGTGGTCGATCTGTCAAAACCGAAAAAGAAAAAGGTTAAGACTCATTTTGTAAGTCCTCAAAGAGACTTATTGTATACCCTAACCTTGAAGTGGTAAACTTTTAGCCAAAAAAAATGTAAAAGGTAAATTTAGAACCTTGCAACTTGCATGACACTCAAACCAACTAAAACATGACTTGGATTTTGAATATCATAAAAACAAACATTCTTTGTGCACGATGTTATTTTTTATAAAGCGCGAACACACATTGATATTATCGAAAATGTATCAGTAACATGGTATTACTTTTAATTGATTATTCCATAACCGCATTAACCATTTAAAATTTTGTTATATATGCACAAGGCTATTATTCATTAGAGAAATTAAATTTTATTTTCTAATTATCCATGAAGGGAAGTCATGAACCCCGTTCAAGCTCATCTTGCGCAGCTTGCAGATCACTCAAGAGAAGATGCACTCCCACCTGCATTTTCGCACCCTATTTCCGCTCCGACGAGCCCAAAAAATTCGCCCAAGTTCACAAAGTGTTCGGAGCAAGCAATGTGAGCAAGATCCTAACTGAAGTCCCCGAGGATCAGCGCGCAGACACGGTGAATTCGCTGGCTTATGAGGCCGAGGCGAGGCTGAGAGACCCTGTTTACGGCTGCATTGGCGCCATAGCTATGTTGGAAAGGAAGATGATTCAGTTACAGCATGATCTGGCCATTGCTCGAGCTCGTCTCGTTTGCTATGCTCCAAAGAATTCGCCCTCATCGTCGTCATCATGTTTTTCTTGTTGTCCCATGTTACATGAGGATACTTTCTCAGGATTTCCTGCTTGGAGTGGATTAAACGGTAACAATTTCAGCCAGAATGCATCTGAATTGATCAGCCAGCAAGGACAAACTAGTGATTTTAGCTATTCTTCATATACACTCTGAATTCATTATCTCTCTCTCTCTCTCTCTCTCTCAATTTCTCTCTCTTTCTCTCTCTTTGTTGGTAATTTGCAATGTGTGGACTTAATTTCTCATAAAAATGAACAATTGGGAAGTGGGAATTATGTGATTATTGACAAACAATATTACACTACAGAAATCAGAAACATAATGTACAATAATTATGAAGCAAAACAACTATTCAGTTACAATAATGTAATTAGAATGAGACACCGTCGCCTTGACGTCCCAGTTACATGCAAATCCTTCTCATGCGTCGTGCGTTTAAAACTTCTATGATTTCTTCCCTATTGAAACACAAAATGTCATAAGAACACAAATAGAAGAAACGGAAAAACGAAATGGTTATCGACCCTAGTGCAAATTCGATCTTCACCAATTTACCTCTCTCAAACAACTAACAATTTAACCGACTAACACCATCATGTGTCCAAAAATAAAAATTATCAACCAACCCTGAAATCGATCACAGTGCAATAACTCTTAATGATCAAATAAAACCCATAAACAAATTCAAATTGAAGTTGAAGTTCTGAACAATGGCGGCACCTGAAGAATGCGAGTACTTGGAGTGCTTCATCTTCTTCCCGAGCTCCACCTGAACATCCATGAACATACTCAACCTCTGCAACGCGAGCTCCTTGTCGAACTCCATCCTCTGTTTCTCCAGCTCCATCATCTGCTTCCGCTTCGAATTCTCAATCCTCTCGTACATTTCCCCAAACTTCGAAATTGCCCTAGCCAATTCCCTGCACGCCGCTCCACCCTCAAACACCGCCGCCTCATCATCGCCGTCGTCGTGGCGAATTGAGCTGTCGGTGGACCCTCCGAGGGGATTCGTATTCGGGTCGGGGGATTTGGCACTGAGAGCGAGGATTGGGGGGTTTGATTTGGTCGCACCGGCGGTGTTTGAGGGGGTTGAGCAGATTATGGAGTGGAGGCGGCGGTAGAAGGGCCACGTGGACTGGCCGGGCTTCGACTTTTCCAGCTTGTACTTTTTCTTCAACGTGTCGATGCGGTTCTTGCACTGGACGTCCTTCTTGAACGGCTTGGCGCCGCCGTTTTGATGGGAGTTAACCGCGTCGGCCACCTCCTTCCAGTCTTTCTGACGGAGGATGCCGCGGTTTAAATGGAGGTAGCGGTCTCCCCAGGCCGTTATTAGTGCCAACGTGGCGTCCTCACTCCAACAGTCGTCGCGGCCAGCCGGGGCGTGGGTACGGTTCAGGCGGTCCATGGACAGAGACGGGTTTGGGTGCCGAGGTGGTGGAGAGAAAGATTGGGAGTGGGAGCTGTCGGTGAGGGTAATGATAGACAGATGAAGGAAAGGATCGGAGTGAGAGGCACATGGAATTCTGGCCGTGTAATCTGCCGGCAGTGACGTCAGCTGCCCTATTGGCGTTGGCCGGACTACTAAAACCGCTTTAAGTGCTTGTGAAAATTAATTAAGAATAATGCTGCGAAATTTGTCAAACAAAACCTATTTACAAATGCACTTACCACATTTACCCTTCCAAAATAATACACGATTTGGAAAAAAAATAAAAAAAACAAATGCACAGGATAACACTATATGAACAAGCACGAAAATTAATGAAAACATGTCTAATTAGAGTTTTTTTATTAATGTTATATTTGTTGTTAATGCTTTATATTTTTCAATGAGTAAATTGTAGTAATGGTCTTTTAATTTTAACTTAATTGGAGCAACAGTCACTTAACTAAAAATTCATTATCATTGGTTTATCAACTTATCAAAACGTGTAGCTATGATTCTTCAACTAAAAATTCATTACCATTGATCCCTCAACTTTAACCCAATTTGAGCAATGGTTCCGCACCTTTGACCTAATTGTGGCAATGATCATTCCAACATAACTCCTTTTGACAAAATTCTAACGAAGTTGATGAAAATGACCATAACTACATATTTTGATGAGTTAAGGGATCCTAATTGTAGCAATGGTCCGTCCAACATAACTTATTTTGATAAAAATTTTACGAAGTTGACGAAAAAAACCGTCGCTACACATTTTGATGAGTTGAGAAACCAATGGTAATGAATTTTTGGTTAATGGACCATTACTCTAATTTGATTAAAGTTGAGGGACCATTACTAGAATTTACTCTTTTTCAATTGACAAAATACTTAAAAATATCGGTAGAATACAGCTAAGATTTTGCAGATGAGTTTGGGTTTTTCTATATCTAGAAACAATAAGCAAATGAGCCATCGAGTTATTTATAATCTCACACAACAGGAAAATGATACGACACAAACACGTTAAAACAAGATACGTAATCAGGTTTATTATTTAAGCACTTCAAACTACCTTTCAATATTTCAAGTAATTTATATACAACCAAAGAATCAAAGATAACAACTACTCAATCAGTGGACGACCCAAAATGGTATGGCCAACCCAATCAAATTTTAATCATAATCCTTAATCTTCTCATAAGAATCCTTCAATTTATCACCAATCACCAAACCCCTCGCATTCATTTCCTCAAAAACCAGTTTAGCCTCCTTAAACCTCCTCAACTTAAGCAGCTTCTTGGCCAAGCTCCCAAAACTCTCCGTGTCCAGCCACGTGTCCCTCCCGCTAAAACTCCTCACAAACTTTACCGCCTGCGCGTAAAATCCCTTTCCCAGCAGCGAATCAATGACGTACACGTGTGTCGACAGCCGCGCCGGCACCTCATCGTCCACCATCCTCCTTATCAGCACCAGAGCCCCCTCCACCTTCCCTGCCTTACACGCGCCAAGAACCAGCGCGTCGTACGTGCGCGTGTCCGCCCTCATCCCCTCTTCTTCCATCCTCGTCAGCACTCCGGCCGTCGCTTCCAAATCTCCGGAGAAACAGTACGCCATCATCAGATAATTAAACGCCGGCACATCCGGCGGTGCTCCGACTCTCCTCATCAGATCCACCACGCCCCACGCGTCGTCCATCCTCTTCTTCCGGGTAACCACATTGAGAATCGGGTGAAAGGTGCAGGCGTTGAGGCCGTAATCGCCAAGCGCCATAAAATCCACCACGCGCAGCGCCTCATCGACCCTCTCGATCTTACAGAGACGCGCGATGAGCGAGTCATACGCGCTTTTGCGGGTGAACCCCCGGTCGAGACGCGCTAGGGTTTTGGTGAGGTCGTCGAGTACGGAGAGGGAGGAGTCGGTGTTGGTAAGGAACCTGAAGGTGTTGGTGGTGTTGAAGCAGTGGTCCTTGACGCGCTTATTGAGGAGGTAGTGGAGGTTGTCGAAGTCTCTGGAGTGGCCAGCGGCGATGACCAGGTTGTCGTAGTAGGCGGTGGTGGGCACGTCAGGGAAAGGGCTTAGGGTAGGGTTTTGGATCGAGAAGAAACGGGCGGCGAAGGTGACGACAGATCGGGAATTTTGTGGTTTATGGGGGATTCGACGGAGGAGAGACATGGTGGCCGGTTTGGAGGGGTTAGGGTTTAAGCTGGTTAATGAAGAAGATCAGAAGTTCAAAAACCCCAGTTGAGAAATGGGTAGGTGGTCATTTTGAAATGGGCTTGGGCTGAATTCTATTGGACTGGACTTTAGGTTTCTTCTGGATTAGGTTGTAAGCTTGATATTGCACATTGGATTGAATAAAAGGAGTCTTTATGGCCCAAGTAATACATATTTTGTACCAAAAAACATGCTGAATGTTTTTTCTTTGATGACCCAATATTGTACTTTTAACTAATCTAAACTTCGATGACAGAATTCAAAGTCCGGGGTATACGAAGCACATTTGCTCGAAACAAAGTGGTTTTGCCTGCATAAGTTATGAATGATATTAATTAATTCAGCTTAACGTGCATATTAATATTAAGCAAATAGTATTGCTTGAGTTTATGTGATTGAAACTCGGGTGCATAAAGGCGCATATATGCTCTAGTTAATGTGGTTACATCTATGTCTACAATGAACACATGTTGAATTAGTAATTTATTTGTTATTTGCGTTTTTTCAACGTTGATCATTACAACATTCGCGATTTTTCAATGTCACGAAATTAGTCCATGTGAACACCTGTAGATGATAAATAGTTGATTTTATATTGTACAAGAGATTCTGAAACTCACATCAATGGTTTGAAATTGCGCACTTGGACAGTCTGACCTTATCAAATTCCCAAAACAAAAATGCTCGTCGGTATCAAACATACAATTAATGTGTGCGATCTAAAACCACTCAGATCAAGATTGTCATACGAAAGCCTAGAAAAATGTCGTGATTGAACTTTTTCAGCGGTGATAGATATCTAAGATTTTCAATATTAAACTGTCTGAACAATTTCCCGTGCCAAAACAGAAGTCCACCAAAGCACTGACTTCAAAAGAGTACCCATATCCCACCGCCTACAGACAAAGATTTTGCCGTCAATGCCGACCCAACAGATATTTCCAATTTTCCAGTCGTAGTTCTTAGGGTACTGCCGAAGATGATAGCCTGCCCTAAATCGCAAGTTAATATCGAAACAGAACAAATTAACATTCCGTATCACGACGAAACCCTAAAAAAAAAGAATCTTAGGATAAGCTAGCTAGCTAATAACATCGCCTTTAAGCAGCGAGATTGTCTTGGTCTGGCTTTTTTTTTTTTTATGAAAAGAAGTGAAGGGTAAATCACTAACCAACTGGACAAAGCATGCCTAGGAAATTCTTCGAGACGACATTGCTGCATGCATGCGCGTGAAAATAAAGCATGCAGATCCTTCAAAGCTAAGAAAAAGTAAAGAATTTGATCTCTTGCGTTGGAGTTCTTATCTCGGTCTAAAACTATTTCTCTTTTCTGCAGAGGAATATGAGGATATCAGATATATATGCATCATCTTTTTGTTTCCCGTAGGGACAAACTTTGGCCTATTTTTCTGACTTAACCTTTTCACTTTTTTTTGTTATTCTTGAGCCTCCTAACTAGTATGTCTCACTGTCTAGAAGGGAATAAAAGTATGAAACTCAGCCCGTTCAATAATGCAAGAGTAATTAACCATTAAATGACTGAAAATGATTCGGGTTTATGTAGCGGTACTACAAATTTGAACCACTCATTCAAATAAGAATCTAATCGTCTTCGATTGTAAAACTGTTATTGTTGCTTTGAGAATACTTCTTTACTATCTATTACTAGGTCTCCATACACTTACATTTTACCTAATAAGTTAAATAAAAGTTAAACTGAAGGTGTTCGTATTCCTCTCTCTCTCTCCTATCATCCTCCCATCTCTTTCAGTCTGAGAGAGTGCACGGAGCTCACAGAGCATCTTTCAGGAAGAAATTAATAGGTCGGTGGTAGGTCACGACTTGATGGTCATTAACATATCAAGCACAGCCAAGCCATGCATGACTTCTTGTACCCACTGCACACCCAGCCACCTAACAATGTTACAGCCGACCCGATACTTTTTGTTTTCTTACCATCGGCGAAATTAGAAGTTTGTCCTTCTATAAGTTACCAAAAAGCCAGGCAAAAGCATATAATCCAACCCGGAAAGGTTAACAAAAAGTGATTTGGCCAATTCCCCAGAATGTTTCTCACCCATTTTTTGTTCTCATGCACTCTTATGTTTACTTATGTTGGTTATTCATTATTAATTTATCTAATTTTTAGGTTTAAAACACGAAAGAGAGTGCAAGAAGATAAAAGAGAGCGTGAGAAAATCAAACCTATGACGATTTGTCTATCTATGAAAGCTTGCACTAGTAGTTATGCAATTGCAACAAAACAAGATTAACTTTCACGAATCACTTCTAATTGCAAACTTGGTCTTATAAAAATGGAAACATATATACAATCTCATACGTGCTTTATCGAAATAATTTTTTTTATGATGTTTAAGAATCATTATCCATACGATCCTCTCCTTTCTTTTATGTAAGCAAGATCTCAACGCCAGATATAATTATTATAGATAGAATCAGTACCCTTAAGTACTACTTAAGGGCCATATAGAAGTTGGTAGCGGGGGACTTATTTTGATGTTAAATTTTTTATTTTTTTTAATTAATGTCAAAGGATCGATATGGGAAATATTATTTATAGAACCAGGAAAAAAAAAAGCCAGAGAGCCGGTCACAAACAATAATACAACTCTTAAACAATACCGTTAAAATCACGTTGTTAGGGATAATATTGCATGCCTTTGTTCGACAAGATTAAATGGACCACATGGCTAAATGAATTTCCACCAATTGTTTATGAGATTGAGTTAACTAAAACAATCCAGAAATAAATTATGGATTTGTTTAAACAAGAAAATCCGATCTTCCCATCTCTTCATGATCAAATTGTAGATATGGAATCCTAATAATTAATGGGATAGGCATGCATTACCTCTCCTTAGTTTCCTAGGCTTTGAAATTTAGTTTTATTTTAATATATATGACTTTCTGTGGACATCTAAGGCATCTTTCGCATATTGGATAGGCACGCTGCTCATACTAATTTATAATATTGTAAAAGAAAAATACG